AATTCATTCATTGGTTCGTCTATAGCAACGCTAGTCTTTTTATAGATTCCATCTTTAGTAACTTAGCCGAATTATAATATACTCTTCACCGCTTCAGTACTTTAATACGATATCTCGAAGACATTCCTCCTATAAGATATTCCTTAGTGATGGAGTCTGCTCGAGTATCGAAACGTGGTAGACCACTATCGATAGATGATACTCTAGATCCTTTAATTCAGCGTAAACGAGATCAAGATCGTCTTCGGCAACGAAGACTCCGGCAACGACGACAATAAGGGAGAGCTCAAGGACAGTAAGTATCTAATTAACAGCGCATTGAGTCTCTTGTTGAGCAACCCTTTAAGTTTCCTAATTCTGAGCTAATCGTCTAGGCTGTAGGATTACGTCTAGAAGGATATAACTTTATCCGTGACGTCGAAGATACTATACGATAACTCACTGCCATTAATATTAACGAGCATCATACACTCTACACTAATACTGACTAGTTACGTTAATCTCGTTCTTCTCATAGGTAATATAGCCTCTATACTATTACGCTCATCTCTTAACCGTACTAGATTAATAGCTACACTATCTTAACCACCTTTATTCCGAAGTCCAGATATAAGCCAAGGTTATAAACGAGTTCAGAATACTCTCGCTACGCCACATCGTCGGCTATAGACTCCTTCTCTTAATTAACGGTAGATTCATTATTATTTTGCCTCTCCTCGCCCTTAATCTGGCGAATTATAATCGTTAAGTTATCTCTTTATTACTTCTACTATCTCTACACTATCTGCTCTTCCTCGCGTATATCGACTATCTACTTAACTATCTTAATATCCTTAGAATCGTAAAGATTATAACTTGTACTCATAATCTAGCGAGAGTAATGGTAGTGATGAAGAGAATAATAACGATGTTACTTAATTAGTCGTCGAGATAACTTCTCGAGTTAATATTATGGGTTACACTTCTTCTACGAGCGCGCTCTCTCCTAGACTAATTAGTCTTTCGACGACATCCCTAATATCTATACGTACCGCGATAGATATCTTCTCATCTATTCGCTCCTTTAGAATAGCGACGTAGAATATTTCTAATGATTCTAACGACCTAAATGATTTTGACTACTTCTCTAGCTCTAATACTTCTCTTAATCTAACTGATTTCGACGAGATAGAAGCGCGAGAATCGAAGGAGGAAGACGAAGAAGACGAAGAGGAAGAGAGCCTAGACTATGATAGTGAGAATAGTGAGGAAGACGACGACGATCGAGATTAGGTTTCTTTCGCGGTATAGAAGCTACTCTCTTAGTATTACTTCGACGGTCATCATGGCTATACACTAGAGAAGTATACTCGACTCGAATAAGAGTATAAGGATGTCGTGGGAGATTAGGAGCATCACGACCTCTCGTTCTGCTTCCTACGAGCGAACTTTCCTTCCGTATTACGGCTAGATCACGATATCGACTAACTACTCACACCAGATTAAGTCTAAGCGAATTTTACTTCTTTAGTAGCACAATGGGAAGAAACGATATGTGGAACGAGTATCGATCATCCCTACTTACGTTATGTCTGTCTCCATACGTATACTACTCCGCTAACGAACCCTAAGATATCCTCTGATGTCGATAGTTTCCTCGGTTTTGCTACATCCCTCGGCTTTGCCCGCGAAGGATTAAATATCGAGCTCGCGCCTTAGGTCCGGAAAAATATAACGGCGGATATTTATATTACGATTACGATATATCGTGAGCCACCGATATAAGATCATCACTATGAGCTGAATTAGGAAGACTATGAGCTCGCGGTTCCTCGCGCCGTTTAGACTCTTCTACGCGATATCTCTCACTTCTTCGCCGCTCGGCTTTTCGGCGCTCGGGACATCGAGGTGTACTTTCTCTTTCCCTATATCCCGGTTGATGGCCACTTTATCGGTTTAATACAGCACTAACTAAAACGATGGTTTGACCGGATCTTTCTCCCAGTCCTCGAGTCGATCGCGCTCTCTCATATTTTATAATATCTTCTCGCGTCGCTCCGTTAAGCGTAGGCGAACTCCGTAGCGGCGTAGATCGAGGGTCGTTAAGCGATCACTACGAGCTACTAGAGTGTCTAGACGATTCACTATACTCTTTAGTCATATTTTCTTTAGTTACTCTGGAGCGCGATTATCGATCGAATCGAGATATAGGAAGGGTTATAGGATTTCCGCGACCCTTAGATCTTCTTCTGCG